TCCGACTGCAGAGGCGAGGCTGAGCAAGTTCCTTTCCTTGAATCGGGCGGGGCGCTGCGATCCGCTCGGAGTTGTCCCGCTTCTTCTGCGGAACCTGACTTGGTTTCAGGCACAGGAAGCGTCCCTAATCGCGGCAGGGTCACTGGCCCCGAGAATGCTGGCGACGTTCACCAGTTTGCTCGGCCCTCCGTTATCAAGACATTTTTCTTTTTCTTTTGAGATCCCTGGTCCTGATCCCTGGTCCTTCAGCCTTTCCCTCTCTGACAGCGGTAGTCCTAGTACCTGAATGCGGGGTACATGTGGGAAATCTGACAGCCGCTCTTTGAACTGGATATCCTGGGATCTAAAGCGAGAGGTTCCGTCTCCAAAGACGCTATGCCCAACAGTTATTTTGAGTGTTACGCCAACCCTCGTTTGCAGTAATCCCCGTCATTCACCCCTTCGCTCATCACTTTCGTTTCCTACATTTAAGTTTCGTTCACGAAAAAAAGAAACATCTACGCCCCGAAATTGTCTCCACCCTCTAACTGTTAAGGTAGTCTATGAAAATACTTTTTAGGACCCCCCCAAAAGTATATATTTAGAGTTAGAGAACTTCGATTAGTAAGAATAGTAAGTAAAACGTTATTCTGCACATTTTATTATGTTAAATGTATTCCAGTACATTTACAATAGTTTCCATGAAAGGTGGAAGTTTTTACAACATAAATATCTATTTTGTTTTACTCAGATACAAAATACTCGGTTACTGTTTTCCATACAATAATTTCACAATATTGAATATGATTTCATTTCAATTGTTTTTATTTCAATTCAGCTTTTATATACGTTATCTGAAAGTACATGTCTGAGAAATCTGACTGTACACCGTCTAGTCCACCTTAAGTCCACCCTCTGGAACGAACTACCCCCCCCCGAGATCCGGATGATTCCGGATCTCCTTACTTTCCGCCGCGCCCTCAAGACATGGCTTTTTCAGCAAGCGGGACTGACCTAGGGAGGATTTTAGGTAGGGATGATTTTAAGAAAATTTTAATTGACACACAGCTTCCAATATTTGGCTTTTAATTTGGTTTTATGGGGTTTTTTGTTTTTTGATGTATTTTGTTTGTATCTGTTTTAATATGCTGTGCACCGCCCTGAGTCCTACGGGAGAAGGGCGGTATATAAATTAAATTATTAAATTAAATTAATTAAATTAAAGAGCTTGTGTGGTGACATCAGAGAGTGTGTGTGTGAGAGAGAGGGGGGGGCAGTAAGATAAATAGAGCTGGGTGGCTCATCCCAGTGTAGCACAAGTGGACTGCCTGAAGGAGAAAATGGAGCTGTATTCCATCCCCTCTAAAAAACTTGATGGATATATTGGTATGACCCTCCACCCCAGCGAGGAGTTTCAAGAGAATGTCAGCAATGCTGTGGACAGAATTTGTTCTTTCCTGAAAGAAGACTGTAATCTGAATGCCAGAGTGATCAAGACAGTAAAGGTGAGCCTTGCTTGATCTAATAACCCAACCCTAGTAAGATGACTTCTCAGATTGAGTGGCACTGGCTCTTTTAGGCCATTGCACCAACTTAGTTACAGGGTATCAAGTTCCCAGCCCTCTTTCCAGACTGTGAGTTCAAATATATATTGCCTGCCTTAATAAATGTGGATGCTGAATTTAGGAAATAAATGCCAGACTTCATGGCAGTGAGACTCTCAGGAAGTGACATGAATGCTGGTTCAGAGGGGGGATCTTTTGGATGGGAGCAAGAACACTACTTGCTGTAAAGAATGTGAAAGAGGTCTCCTTGTGGTGTTATGTTATATCCAGTGACCCTGAAACTGGTCATTAACCATATTCTTATGAAAGGTATTGGGCAAACTATGGATTGACCCATACACTTCTGAAAGGGGAACGCTAACAGGCAGTAAGCAACAAGTAACAAATTACTCAAACCCCTGGTTTATGATTGCAACCTGATACTTTATATAGCAATCTCTTGAAGAGAAGGAGAAACTGACTAGATTTCCCTTGCTCACTTTGTATGAGCCACTAAGGATCCCTAGAAAAGTTCTGCTCAAAGGGTCTACTGGACAGTTAAAGTCCAGGGGGCAGGTTTTTCAATTGTTTTTGTTCCTCTTGATATTTTTCTTTCCTTTTCCCATCTCACAGAATTGATAGATATTTTGGATTTTATAGCACTTAGCACTAGCACTTAGTGTCATGGTTCCAATAGATGAAACCCTTCAAAAGAACTTCGGGGCATTGTTTTCCTTAAAGAGTTTTTTATTTGGGAAACAAAGTATCGGCATTACATAGTTGAACCCAAAAACTAAATTCCCCTCCCCTGGATACAAAGTAGCAAAGTACAATTCCCACCTCCAATAACCCAGTCATAAAGCACAATCCCCAATTAGCTTAAAGTGTGGGCTTTCTCCCCAGCTCTCCAGCCCACCAAAACATTATCAGCTCTGGACCCAGTTTGTCCTTGGGTTCCCTCGGCAGAGTTATTATTATGGCTAACTGAGCTCGCATCCCAATCCCCCCTCCCTGCACCAACTAATTCTAAAAGCAATGGAAAGGGAATAGAGAAAATGGCTGCATTTCCATCTGTTGTCAGAGCAAGAACATCCGATGTTAGCAGCATTGACATCCGCCCCCCCTTACAAAAAGGACAAATCCTATAATGCAAACAAAATCATAAGTTAGGGGTTGCCTCTTGGTTTATTAGGGTGTTTCTTATAAAACTTATTAATGAGTCTATCAGCTTTTACATCGCTAGATTTTATCCAGGTGGCCTCAGACAACAGATACCCTTTCCATTGCATTAAGTACTGTAGCTTCCCTTTAAAAAGTCTAGAATCAAGAATACGCTTCACTTCATAATGAGTCTGTCCTGCTACCAAGAGAGGTCCAGGTGCCTTCATAGGGGGAGGTCATAAGGTGGAATCCCAAAAAGGTTTCAGCAGGCTACAATGGAACACAGGGTGGACTTTTCCTAAGAATCTGGGAAGCTTTAATTCCACTGTGACCGGGTTAATGATCCTTACGATGGGGAGGAGTCCTAAGTATTTCAGTCCTAATTTCTTACTAGGTAACTTAAGCTGTAAATATTTTATGGACAAATAAACCTTTCCCCCAATTTGGAATGTCCTTTGAGGAGCTCTCTTTTTATCTGCTTGCTTTTTATATTTATTTTATTTATTTATTTATTAATTAAACTTTTACCCCGCCCTTCTCCTTACGGACTCAGGGCGGCTAACAACCTAATAAAACACAAATACACCCCAAGACACTCCTTAAAACCCAATTAAAAAGAAATATTTGAATTGGCTATAATTAATTAAAAATGTTTAAAAACCCCACTAAAAAATTTCCCCTTAGGCCAGTCCTGCTTGCTGAAATAACCATGTCTTAAGGGCGCGGCGGAAGGAAGGGAGATCCGGAATCACCCGGATCTCTGGGGGTAGTTTGTTCCAGAGGGTGGGAGCTCCCACTGAGAAGGCCCTCCCCCTGGGAGTCGCCAGCCAGCACTGTCTGGCTGACGGCACCCTGAGGAGACCCACCCTGTGGGAGCATACCGGCCGATGGGGGGTAATCTGCGGCAGAAGGCGGTCTCGGAGATATCCAGGTCCGATGCCATGGAGCGCTTTGAAGATGATAACCAACACCTTGAAGCGCACCCGGAAAGCCACCGGCAGCCAGTGCAGCTCGCGCAGCAACGGTGTTACATGGGAGCGACGAGTCCCTCCCAACACTGCCCGCGCGGCCGCATTCTGGACCAGTTGAAGCCTCCGAGTGCTCCTCAAGGGGAGCCCCATGTAGAGAGCATTACAGTAGTCCAGGCGGGAGGTGACGAGAGCATGGGTGACTGTGCGCAAGGCGTCCCGGTCCAGGAAAGGCCGCAACTGGTGGATCAGGCGTACCTGATAAAACGCCCCCCTGGTCACGGCCGACAGCTGGTCTTCCAGTGTCAGCCGTGGATCCAGGAGGACCTCCAGATTGCGCACCCTCTCCGAGGGAGCCAAAATTTCGCCCCCTATAGTCAGCGATGGAGTCAGCTGACTATGCCGAGGCGCCGGCAGCCACAGCCACTCAGTCTTGGAAGGGTTGAGCCTGAGTCTGTTCCTCCCCATCCAGACCCTTACGGCCTCCAGGCAACGGGCCATCACGTCAAGGGCATCGTTGGGGTGGCCTGGGGTGGAAATGTACAGCTGAGTGTCATCAGCGTACTGATGGAAATCCACCCCAAAGCCACGAATGATCTCCCCCAGCGGCTTCACATAAATTTTTATATGCCTCAGAAGCCTTTTGAAAGCAATTTTCGTGGTTCTCCAGACCTCTTTCCACCCCCTCACCCACTGGTCAAGTGTTTGGGAAGTGGAGGGTCCCTGAGGATATTCGGGTATTGGGCTGAACTCTTTTCCTGTGGCCACTTTAAAAGGCGTGAAACCAGTACTGCTGTGAACAGAGTTATTGTAAGCCACCTCTGCAAAAGCGAGGAGGTCAGTCCAGTTTGTCTGCTGATAATCCACATAGCATCTGAGATACTGCTCCACCATTGAGTTCGCAGATTCAGCCGCCCCATTGGTGGACGGGTGAAAAGCCAACGACAGTCCTTGAGATGAGCCAATTTGCTTAAGAAAACCCCTTCAAAACTTGGCTGTAAACTGCACCCCCCAGTCTGAGATTATACATTTTGGTGCACCGTGCAGTCTGGAGATGTGCTTCAGAAACATCTTGGTTAGTCGCTGGGCAGATGGGAGCCCCTTGCAGGGAATGAAGTGAGCCTGCTTTGAAAACAGATCTATCACAGTTCAGATAATTGTATTCCCCCTGCTTTCAGGTAACAATTTCCATAGCAATTTCTTCCCATGGTTGGGAAGGGTCAGCCACCATTGTAATAGTCCAGGGGGTTTCCCTGGGATTCTTTTCATGGTGGCACATACAGCACAACTCCTGACATAGTTCTCTATGTCCCATTTCAAACCCAGCCACCAAAATTGCCAGCGGAATAGATGTAGTGTTTTTAAATATCCAAAGTGCCCAGCCTGCTTTACATCATGGCCGTGCCGGAATGCATTAAGGTGGAGGGTTTACAACTTCCCCCCTTTTACCAAACCATCCCTGCATGTTAGGGAGGTTTGATTGTCTTTGAACCATTGGTTGTTGAGGAGCTCCTGTTTTATTTTCTTTGCCCCAGGATCGTCGGGGTTTGGGGCTTTTGAAGGTGGGACTCTGCACGGCGTTAGTTGAGAAGCAGTTTGTGGAGTAGATATAATTGCTTCATTAACCTCTTCACATTGGCTCTTGTATTGGGGCAATCTGGATAAAGCATCAGCCAAAATGTTTTTTTCTCCAGTATGTACTTTAGGCTGAAGTTAAATAGGTTAAAGTATTGCGCCCATCGTACTTGTTTCGGGGACAATTTTCAGGGAGTTTTCAGTGCTGTGGTTTCCCCCCTTCCTTCCTAGTTCTTAGTAATTCAGTGAGGGGTAATGCAATTTCAGCAAAGGAGGGGATGAACTGTCAATAAAAGTTGGCGAATCTTAGAAAGTTCTGAAGCTACTTGCGTGTCTTTGGGGGTTGCCATTCAATCACGGCTCTCACTTTGCCGGGGTCCATTTCAAAACCCTCACTGGAAATTCAGTAGCCAAGGTAATCTAATCAGGTCTGATGGAACTCACAATTTGATAGCTTAACGTATAGCTTGGCATTCAGCGATTTCTTTAACACTTCCCGCACCAACTTTATGTGGTCAGCCACATTTGTGCTGGATTGGTGACCAGGACTCAGGGGACAGTATCAATATACAGATGGCCCCTCTGTCTCTGGTCACTTGTAGGCCTATGAATGAAGGGTCATGAAAGGACAGCAAAGAAACATGCAATGTTCTAAACCCAATCAAGAACATCTGACATCTTGGGACAACACCCACAACACCCAAGACTGAACATATGGTCTTGGGGAAACTCCCTTGAGAGAACATATTAGCTACTTCTGCTTTTCTTTTCTATAGTGTGCCAGCCTTAAAGGGCTAAGTCTTAAACTTATGTGTGCCAGCCTAGCTGGGTGAATTGCTTATGTAACCAAAGTGACTATAAAAATAAGCTTTCTTTGGTATTTGGGGCTTTTTGGGTCTTTTGTACAGAAGCCCGTCTCTATTCAGTTGAATAAACACATAAACCTGAAGGCAATTTCTAGTTTCCTGTATTTCTTTAACCAGCAAAACCTCAGAACCTGCATATCAGTATATCAGGATGTCTTCAAGATACACCAAAACCCCTTTGTATAAATGATTATGTAGCACCTGATTGATCAACTTCCTTACTCAGTAATATGCCTCTCTCAGGTCCAATTTAGTGAAGATGCTCCCTTTTGCCAAATGGTTAGTAGGTCTTTCAGAAGGGAGAGGGGGTACTTGTTTTTCATGCTTACAGTGTTTAACCCCTTATAATCCACGCAGAGATGAAGCAATCCATCTTTTTTCCCCTTAAATA